TTTGTAGATTTTTACAGTGTGAGAGAGAACTAGCACAATGAATGCTTGTGAGAGGGATGGGGAGAAGAGCTGAGGGGAAGCAAGGCTGAAGAAACTAGTTTTGCAGTTGTTTCTGATGGTGGCAAGGTAATTCTTTTCTTTTGTGAAGTGAAGGGTACTTAAAAAGTGGATGGAGCTAGGCTGTTCTCAGTGGTGGCAGATGACAGAACAAGGAGCAATTATCTCAAGTTGCAGCAAGGGAAGTTTAGGTTAGATATTGGGAAAAGAAACTCTCACTAGGAGTATAGTAAAGCACTGGAGCAGGTTACTCAGAGAGGTTGTGGAATTTCTATCCTTGGAGGTTTTTAAAACCTGGCTAGGCAAAGCCTGGCCTGGGATAATCTAGCTGGGGATGGTCCTGCTTTGAGTGGGGGAGGAGGGCAGACCACGTGACGTCCCTTCCAACCTTAATTTTCTATGGTTGTATGAATTCTACAACATAAAGTTGACACCTATGAAAGAAATGTCTCTCACCCTGCTGGGTTTCCCTCTTTTTGTTTATTGGTATTGCACCTTTTTTCATTATAAAACATTTATACCTGTGTAAAAAGAGTTGCAAAGTAGGTCACTGTAGTACACTTAATTTGATAACATTCTGAATTTATTTTGCACAGTTTCAGAATGATCACCTAAGACACAAGGCAGCAGGGAATCAGTTTATCTTTGTTCACCATGAGATAAACTGTGTAGCTATGAGATAAAAGCTTTTAGGAACATACGGCTAGAGACAAAGGCCTGTAGATGTGTGGGAATGCCGCTCCAATATGCTGTAATTATAGTGCATCAGACCAGACTTGATTAATCTAGGGAGATTCTCGTGTATTCAGCCTCCCGGTACTTCAAAATGGCGGCAGGGGTGCTTGAACTAAAGCGCCTTGAAGAAGCTTTAGTTAAAGTGCCCCCGCCGCTATTTGAAAGTGCAGGAGATCGAATACACAAAACACTGGGGGCACTTTAATTAGAGTGGCTCTCAGAGTTGAAAAGTGCCTTCCTCCACCCCCAGAGCTTGTGTAAAGACCCCCAAAGGCCCTGGCAACAGCGGTCAGGCTCCCAGGTATTGCTGCTCTTGGAGCAACTGGCACGAACAGGTTAAGAGGCTGTGACTTGGATGACTACACAGTCCGGTGGGTGGCGAATTGGCTGGAGGGTCGCACCCAGAGAGTCGTGGTGGATGGGTCGGTTTCGACCTGGAAGGGTGTGGGCAGTGGGGTTCCGCAGGGCTCGGTCCTTGGACTGATACTCTTCAATGTCTTCATCAGCGACTTGGACGAGGGAGTGAAGTGTACTCTGTCCAAGTTTGCAGATGACACAAAACTGTGGGGAGAAGTGGACACGCCGGAGGGCAGGGAACAGCTGCAAGCAGACCTGGATAGGTTGGACAAGTGGGCAGAAAACAACAGAATGCAATTCAACAAGGAGAAATGCAAAGTGCTGCACCTAGGGAGGAAAAATGTCCAGCACACCTACAGCCTATGGAATGACCTGCTGGGTGGCACGGAAGTGGAAAGGGATCTGGGAGTCCTAGTGGACTCCAAGATGAACATGAGTCGGCAGTGTAACGAAGCCATCA